CCTTCTACTCCTTATAACTCTTCAAAGGATCATGAGTCTCATGACAAGGTAGTATATGAGCATACCATTGATAACATTCCTTGTTATAGAACTAAATAATGAACTCTTAATTCAAATAATCAAAGTTCTTCAGATTCAACACTAGTACAAAAATGGACTACGGTCATACTTTTCAAAAAACAGCCTATGACACTTTTTATTAAAAGTGTGGCCAAAGGTCACTAAAAAATCCAGTAACTGTTTTTGGATACATTTAAATTAGTTTCTATGGCCATTGTATAGATAATCAAAACTTTAACCACACTTAATTATACCAAATGTGACAATTATTAGCCACACTCGAACGTTGTGACCATATATCACCATCAGCCACGAATACTAATTAACATTATGATACATTGTTTATATGAGACAATAGATAAATATATGGTGACATGAAACAATTGTATATGTTTCTATATCATGGTTCCCTTTTAGACATATGAAAGCCAATGTAGCTAAAAGGTGACACATATGGTCACATTAAATATTTGTGTCCATAGGGTGGTGTTTACTAGTGACTTAGTAAAAGCAAGAAAACATGTTACTTTTTGTGGTATATCGTTATGTGCATTTTATTATGTGTGTCAAAATATGATGAATTGACTTTAAAAAATGAATATTGTGAGTGTAAGTAACATTTGGTTATGGTTACAATTATTATGTGTGTCTATAAGTAAATCTAGGTATGGAAGACATATAATGTCTGATCAGAATAATTATAGTATGGTCATTAAATGTGTGATTATGATTTTATGATGGTCATTCTTTTTTTACTAGTGTATGTCTAAATTTAAAGAATAGTCTACATAAAATGAAAATATGTTGCCGTAAGTATTTACTAGTAACTTATTAATATATTTTGTGCTTCATTTTTTTTATTTTTTTTTGGGAGAGGGAGACCCTCCGGCAATTTTTATAAAATAAAAAGAAAATGATAGAAACTGAGGAAGAAGGTTAAAAGGGGTCATGGGAGACTTTTACTAGTGAGGTAATGTGATTAAGGCGAGGGAGACTACAAAGTTGGATAGAGAACGAAAGATATAGGGGTTGTTTGGTAGGATATGAATTTTTAAGAGGTCTGAATTTTTAAGAGGGTCTGAATTCTTAAGACCTGAAATTTTAACATGTTGTTTTGTTGGAACCTATGAAATTAGGTGCTTAATTATAAAAATGACCATTTTACCTGTTTTATTATTTTTTACTAAATTCAATGTTTATTTTTCTAAAATACAATGCTCTAACTGGAAGAGGTGGAAATATGATGTTATAATATAGAAATCAATAAAAAGTACGTTGTTATTTTGTCACACCCCCAAACCGTAACGGCAGAAACGTTCGGGGGCGGAGGACGTCATGCTTAGTATCATAACCATAGTGAAGATAGTAAACACATCCATCATAAATATAATTTAAAAGGTTACATCGTTGCACAAATACACGTTTCCAAATAAATTACATATCATGTCAAAATATTGCAAAAATTTGCGCCTTAGCGTCTTGCCTTCAAAAATCTTGTGGTTACCTGTATTACTGAATACCTGAGAATACAAGTTGTTTTTGAAATAGTATCAGCATTAAAGCTGGTGAGTTCATAAGCAATTTATGAATGAAAAATGGATGTTGTTCCTTAAAGTTGGTTGCAAGTTTGTTTCCAGAAAATCCAATATTTTCTAAAAGGTTTATTGTAGTCTTAACTGAACCAAGACTTACTATATGTAAGTAAATCGTCATACTTATGTGTGGTTTTATATTTAAATAAAACTCCTTTTTGTATAATTCTTAAATCCCCGTGAACTGTGTGTTTTGTTAATTCCCCATGTGAGTTGTTATAACCATGCTAAAACTCGAAGGCCTCGTACTCGACGTTCTTCAGGCGTCGGAATGTTATGACATTTGTCACCCCAGACCTGCCGGTCTAGCTGTTGCAAGCAGCTTAGGTGCGGGTTTGTCAGACCCAATATAGATCTATACACAATTATCACGCTCTCCCTACAAGAGATTCTGGTTATAACTACAGGACTTTTCTGTTGTACTTAAGAGTACCCTGAAGGCGAATGTCTCACAAATTTATTCATTAACAAGTTCACGTAGTTTGTAATGAAATACCCGTTTTGTAAATCAATTGTATTACTGTTTCCTTGTTTAACGAGGTGTTCAAACTATACCTATTATAGTTTATCAAGAGTGTTTTATGTTTTAATGAAACCTTGTTATGCATGACTTTGTATTTCAATAAAAATAATATTGAAAATACTAAGTGTAAATCTTACACACCTTGCTCAGCATGTTACAAGGTGTGAATAACTCTTAAACATGTTTTGATAGTTCTACCCTTAACTGTCCCTGTTTTAGAATATTTATAGAAAAATCATCGTAAGTCGAAAGCTGAATCCGTAAACTCTGAGAGTTTGGAAAGAGAGTGTACTGTATTTATAAATTCTCTTATAATTTTTGGTGGTCTCAAACCAGTGTGAAAACGTTCATCTTCACAGCCTGGTCCGATTTTGTTGCTGCGGTGATAGACACTGTTGTAAAATTCAACATAAATTGTAGAAAATCGTATAAACGCGTGCGAGTAGTCCTTAGAGAGGTATAAACCTGAACTACTTGCATATTCTACAGTTTTGAAAAATATTAAGGTTAAGTCGGGTAAAACAGTTCGTAAACAGGTCACAACTTTTCTGTTGTAAGCTGTCAAGTTAAGTTTTAAATACGTTTTGGTGTTTTAACTTATATTCCCCCTCTGAAAACTAAAGAAAACTGGAAAATGTAGTGGTATGAACTCACCTTGAGTGATTTCTTGAAGAGTGGAAGGTCGAAGACGAGGAGTATCAAGTCAAGAACACTTGATGAACACGTGAAATGTTGGATGATCCTAAGAACGATTTTTGGTGTTAAAATGTGTGTAGATGATTCAAGGATGTTATGAAACATGGAACAACACTTGAGTTTAGATGAAATACTTACCAAAAAGTGAAGTAATAGCTCAAGAACACCTTCAAAAAGTGGCTGGAAGTAGAGAGAAAAAGAGGCTCTCTTGATGGTTAAGAAGAGTGTAGGTGTTTGACGGTGAAGGAAATGATCAAGGTAAACCAAGAAATCCTCCAGGGATTTCTTTATATAGGAAGCTGCTGGAGAAATTTGCAAATTTGAGGGGATGTTTGCCTTGGTTTGTGTGATGTGGATAGGATTGGACTAATGAGAAAGTGACACATGGAGGCAAGTGGGCACACTTGACCCACTTGTGATGTAAAACATCCTTAGATATTTCTCTTAATGTAAAATGATGATTTATAATTAATAAATCCTTGATATATGAATAAAATATTAGTTTAGGGGGCTTAAAATGGTAAAAATATGAATTCGGTGAAAAATCCCCGTCAAAAACGTCAAAAACGGGCTTAACAGGCCAAAGGAGTCGAAAACCGGACAAAAGGAGCAAACCTGCGAGGGTTCGGTTCTTGGAGTTGAGGACCGAGAGTGAGAAGAAGGAACCGAAGGAGGGGCTCGGGTCCGAAGGGTATAGGAGCGAAGGTGAGTCTTGGGTCTGAAGGGAGATGGAAGCGAAATGGACCGAAGGCTCGGTTCATTTCGGTTGCTGATGAGTTTCGGTTCTGCTGACTGGCTTCGGTTCGGTCTGAGGTTGACTTCGGTCCTGAAGGGTACCTTCGGTCCTATGCTAAGTTCGGTCCTAAGAAGCTTCGGTCCAAATGAGGTGTTTCGCTTCTTAGGGTTTCGGTTCCATTAGGGTTTCGGTGCTATAGGGTTGTTTTTCAAGTAAACTCCCCGTTTTGAGTGATTTTTGGCCAAGTTAAGGGTCGGGATGACCCAGATGACTATAAAAAGTTGAGAGAGATTTTGAGAGAGATTTATATTTAGTCAATATTATTGTATAGTCTCGCAATGCAAGGTTCGTGAACCCGTTATGCTTCGTTTTAGATTATTTTAAGTCCCCAAAAGGGTCCATAGTCGTGTTTTGATGCGTTTAACTCCCTTCTTAGGGTTTTACATTGCTAAACACATAAAATCTCCGAGACACTTGAATTCTTGACATACAAATGCACATTTTTACACATAGAATAACTTTTAACATAGAAGTACTAGTTAAGTTTGACCGGTTTGACTTGTTGACTTTGACTTTGACTTTGAATTGAAATTGACGGTTGTCACATATTTCTTACGTTTAACCCTTTACAAAAACAAGCTTCAATAGATATGAAAACAACCTGAAAAGGAGAACACTAGTATAGAAACAAAAACACAAATTGTATATATAAATTGCAATTTGAAGGTTTTGTTTCTGACAATTCTACCATGACAATTTTGATGTTGTACAATGCAAATAATGGATTTTACACCCAAACATATTCCATATGGAATGAAATTATAAACAGTTCTTATAATATTGATATTCACATAATTTTGGGCCTAATTGACGCTTACATCGAAGCAAGGTTTTTGATGAAGTTATCCAAATCATACATCAACTGGTATCTTACTCCAAAAATGGATGTATGTTCACAATCATATTCTAAACACCTACAAAAAAATATTCAAACAGGTAAGTTAATCCAAGTGATTCAATCACATAAGCAACGAGTCTAAATGCAACCCTTCTATAAATCAAGACAAACATAAACTAATAGATGATTTTAGTCAGGTGGCATCCAAGAAATATTAAATTGCCATTCAATCTGATGTTGACTAAATGAACAATACACAGTGGTAATCGAGTTATAGTGCAAGTCAAAAAAGAAGAAAAAATCGATATATGAACTTATAATCGAATTCATAGCAAAAAAGAATGAACAAATCAATGTATCACTAACAATCGATTTCAGGGGGGTGGAGAAATTTTTTTTGATGTATTCAGGGGAAAAAACGATTCCAGCAAAAAAATCGATTTTAGAGCAAGAAAGTTTTACCCCAAGAGACGTTGTCGATGGATTTTGACGGCAATGGCAGAGGCACTGGCTAGAGGTGTTTCAAGGGCTGGTAGAGGCGGTCACTGGACTGGAGGGCGATGGCTGGAGATGCGAGCGATGTGGAGGAGTGCAGACGGTCGTCGCTGTAAGGCAAGAGAAGTATGAACAAGAAACATCATACACTAAGTCATTCATTACAGGGATATCACCTGAAAGGGATGCAATCGGCTTTCAAAAAGGCATGGGTGTTCATTTAGGAGTTTCATTAAACACTTAGTAGACACATAGAGCAATAAAAGAACAAGTTTAACCACGATCATTATCAAAGAGCCATATATCGCAGGAAGACAAAGGTGGAACTAAATTATAATTTACAAGCCACGATTCGATTGAAGGGGGAACGAAAATTAATTACCAAATTAACATTCATGTGCAAAATAAATAAATGATAATCCGTCCTTTGTAGTTGAAGTTATAGTCAATAGAGACATACCACCCCAAGCCCTTTATTCTGTTAGTATCCTCGTCTCCTTAATCTCGAGTCTGTACGAACTGAAACGACGAAAATAATGTACATGATAAAAACATACATAATAAAACCTATATAAAAACAAAATAACTTGCACAACTTGGGAAGTATACCGGGTCAAGCGATAGTGATGTTATGTGATGGAAAGGTCAAACGATATGAGATTGTCAATTAGGTTGTTCCATGTGTCTAAGAGCAGTGTTGCAAAAATCGGACTACTCGGCCGAGTACTCGGAATCGGGCCTTTACTGAGGGGAGTAGTGTCAACTCGGGAAAAAAAATCGGACTAAGTCAAAATCGGTCAAAACTTGGTCAACCTCGGTTAAAACTCGGTCAACCTCGCTCCAACTCGGTCTTACTCGGGCTACTCGGTCAAGAAGTCAAAATCGGTCAACAATTTCAAATTCGGTCAATGAGGGCAAAAATTGACAACCTCATAAAACTTATTTTTTACTTTAAAAAAATTACCCTAAAACCTAAAAAACAAAGCGGCATTCCCAAATTTGGTTGCCCCTCTTTTCTAGGAGAATTCGACCTCCTGTGCTCTCTCTCGTCTTTCTCTTCTACTGGCGAATCGTGATACTACCAGCGGCAGGGATCGAGGTTCTATTCTACAGTTCGACTAGCAATAATGTGTTCATGTCTTCCTGAGTCGTGATACTACCAGCGGCAGCGATCGATTGTAGACCGACGAGATCCTCAATATCGATCAAGGTTTTTTCTCTTCACTCTTACCGTATCTCTCTATGTCAATTTTGGATTTCTTCTTCAAGAACTTGTTTTTTTTTTTTGTATTTGAGTTTGTATAACCGTATGTATTTCACATTTGAGTATTTACAAAGGCAAATGATCTATATCCGTATTGTTACTCTATCTCACTGTCGATTTCGGATTTCTTCATCAATAGCTCGTTTTTTTGTATTTAAGAACTCCCATAATGTCCTACTGTTACTCCCACTATGTATTTCATCAAGAGTTTTGTCCTTGTTCCTCATTTTTCCCTTAAGATTGTTGGTTTTTGACTTGGTGTGTATCAGTGTATCTATTTCGTGATTTCTTTACAGGACACAGGTGTATCAGTGATTCAGTGTATGTATTTAGTGTATTTGATTTCTTTGATAGAGTAGAGACTGAGGTTACTACAAACAAGTGGCAGTGGATATGCATTTGATTGTCCCTGTTTGAATTCAAATTTCACAGTTTGTAACTTTATATGTATTTTTTTTCCTGTTTTTTGTGTAATAGACTAATAGTATGTATGCTATTCTGTTTTATCACTTTACGTGACTTTGTATATTTGAATGTATTTCAGAATTCAGATTTCCAATATTAGTTTCACAGTTTGTATGTATTTTTTTTCCTGTTTTCTGTTTCCTGTTTTTCCTGTTTTCTATTTTTCTAAAACAATGTGTGTGTTTTAGACTCACTAACTCACTTTGTGTTAGATAGATTTCTAACTAAAGTAATGACATCAACCACAACAACCCCGTCTACTGGATCAACTGCAGCTCAAGAGAATGTTAAACGCAAATCAAATGATCCTGGATGGGAATATGCAGTGTGTGTGAATCCTAAGAAATTGGAGCGAGTGAAATGCATTTTATGTAATAAAAGATGGCGGGGGGATCAATAGACTAAAAACAACATATTGCACAAATTAAGGGAAATGTTTCTTCATGCCCAAAGGCCACAAAACATGACCAAATAAAATGTAGAGATGCTCTTCTTGATAACCAAAATAAAAAAAAGGGGAAGGTAGATGAAAATGAGTCTTTATGAGCACAAGTGAATATTAGAAGTAGTGAGAATGAAACCATTACCATCGATGATGATTTGATAGAAGATTCATTTGGCTCTAAGAAGGCTAAACGTTCTTTTGGGCCTATGGATCGGTTTCCAAACACTATCAACCCCCAAATTCTCAACCATGCAAAAACACTCACGGTGTTTATTTTAAAAGGTATTGGCGGGCTACCTAGGTATAAGAAAATTCTCAACCATGCAAAAACACTCACGATGTTTTTATTATGCTCATCATAAAAACTTTGGCCATGATGAGGACACTTTACCAAGAAAAGAGATATTGTGCGACCGGGAGTCACGAGATTTGCTTCCGCATTTCTTACTTTGCAAAGTTTGGCCGATAAAAAGGCCCAACTAAAACAAATGTTTACAAGCGATGAATAGGAATCATGTAGACTTAACAACACCGTTAAAGGGAAAGCCGCATATGACACGATGGTAAATGCCACATTTTGGACCGGTGTAGCATTATGTTTAAAGGTTTTTGCCCCTTTGGTCAAAGTTCTTCGGATGGTTGATGCGGATCGAAAGCCATCAATGGGTTTTGTATATGGTGATATTCAAAATGCGAAACAAGAAATTATTAATGCTTTAGGCAACAATACAAAAGCATATGAGCCTATTATGGATATCATTTCGAAAAAGATGAAAGGTAGGCTTGATACAACCCTACATTTGACGGCTTACCTTTTAAATCCATATTATCTTATAAAATCCGGAGATCCAAAATGATATTGATGTGACCGATGCTATAGTTGATTTGTCGATACATATATATGGGAGATCATTCTTTGCAAAACCATATCGTGATGGTTGAGTTGCCGGTTTACATGGGTAAACAAGAAAATTTTAGTCGAGAAATTGCAATTAAAGGATGTGAGGTGAACAACGACAAATTTGATCCGGGTAATATATTTTTAAATTGTATTTATTTTATAAAATTCCAAAATAATAAATTTAACAATGTTTTTTTCAACTTGTAGCGAATTGGTGGGTAGCTTATGGTGCCTCAACTCCACAATTGAGAAAGATTGCTACAAGGATACTTTCTTTAACAACTAGTTCTTCGGGGTGTGAAAGAAATTGGAGCACTTTTGAAGGGGTTGGTAGTTTACTAAATTTAATTATAATTTTTAAGTAGTTTATTCAAAACTTGTATATTTATCAAACTTTTTTTTTGCTTATTTAAATTTGTAGGTACATACAAAGAAAAGAAATAGATTAGAGACGTCAAAAATTGAACAATCTTGTTTTTGTTCAATTTAATGCAAATTGATGGAAAATAACAAGAAAAGAAAAGACTAAGGATATGGAAGTACTTTTAGCAAAAGATGCAAGTGAGGCTCAAGAATGGATTGTCGAAAATGATGTATTGTTGGATGGAGTTGAGCCCGATGAAGCTATGGGTGACGAGGAGTTTTTACAAAATCGTAGAAGTTCTAGATTAAGAGAACTTGATGACGAAGAATTTGTGTCGGAGGATGAAGAAGAACTAAATGAAGATGTTGAATATAAATCGGATGGAGTTAACATCAACGAACAAATTGGAGCTACGTTGGAAGAGGAAGATTAAATGATTAATCTAAATATGTAATATTAAAGAATGGTGTCTATTTTTTAAACAATTTAACATTTCAAAATGTATCTTTTGTTGATATTTCACCTAATTTTGTAATGAATTTCAATCAACTAGTATTTTAATTTATGATCTTTGACATGTATAATTTCCTTTAAAATATTTTTTTACATGATTTACCATATCCGAGTACTCCCCGAGTACTCCCCGAGTCATCCTAGTACTCGCTACTCCCCCCTCGGCCGAGCAGGTGCCAAGTAGCGAGTTCTCCAACCTTGGCTAAGAGCCAATATAGTCATGAGTGGTGATCGAATAGTTTTTATGTTTCAAATAAAATTGGGGATTAAAAATATTGGGGAGGAGGGAAAGGTGAAATTGTGTGTAACTGAAAACTAAAATTTTGAATTGGAAAAATTATAAACTATAGTAGGAAATAAGTTAATATGTAAAACTAAGAAGGAAATTAAACTTGTATTTATGAGATAATTACGTTTTCATAATATGCATATATTATACGTGTATTTGTATTCATACTAATAATATATATTCAACCTAATTTCGAATTTGAAATATAATTAGTTTTCTATATAATCTATGTTTTGTGGCTAAGCGTGATTTAACGATCGAGAGATGTGTGGGGCGGTGGATGGATTGAGAGGGTGATACCTTAAGATATGGATATAGGGATGAGCATATGGACCGGGGAACCGGCCGGAACCGGAACCCGATGGAACCGGTCGGGCCGGGGCCGGGACGATATTCTTGTGGATTTTTGGGACCGGGAACCGGTAGAACCGGCAAAAACCGGAACCGTTTGTTGCTATTTATCGAGGACCGGTTCCAACATTGAAGACACAACAAGAACCGGTAGAACCGGCGGTCCGGTTCGGTTCTTAATTTCGGCCGACTTCGTTCCCAGACCGGGTCCGGTTCGGGCCGGTTCCAGCCGGGTCGGTCCCTTTGCTCATCCCTATATGCATACATATGTGACCCTGAGATATACATTAGGAAATTAGAATTTGGTAGGGAGGGGTATGGAGGGAAATTTAATTTGGTTAAAATGTCATGGAAGGAACTAAAATTATTTAACATAGGGAATAAAAAAAACATATAAAGTTAACGCTTAAAATAAGTATTTTAAAAGGTATACTTAGTGCAAGGTTTAACAACTATATTTTGCAATAAATTTCAACTAATAAATAAAATATTAGTGCAAGGTTTCAGTAGGGTATATGTATGGTGGTTAGATATATAGATTTGGGATAGAGTAGTGTGGGGTTTAGGTGTATGGGTTTAGGTGTATGTGTGATATGTTATATGGCTAATGGCTTAAAGCTTACGACTTAAGGCTCAACAATTAGGGCTTAAGGATTTAAGCTTTCGGCTTAAGCTTATGGTTTAGTGTTGAATGGTTATAGTTTAGGCTTGAGGGTATATGGATTATGGTTCAATGCTTAATGCCTATAGCATATAGCTTATAAGTTAAGGTTTAAGGCTTAAGGCTTAAGTCTTAAGGCTTGGGGATTATGGATAATGGCTTATGGACTATTGTAACACCCGTAGTTCCGGGCTAGTAAATTTAGAGATAATAGGGGTCGAAAACGACTTTTTGACAAAAGATTATTTAGAACGTTGAAATCCGAGTTATAACGAAGAAGTTATGGTTCGTCTCAAGGGTTCCGTACATATAAAGAACGTTGAAATCCGAGTTATACGTCTCAAGGGTTCCGTACATATAAAGAACGTTGAAATCCGAGTTATAACGAAGAAGTTATGGTCCGTCGAAGTTTTACGGCAAATCCGACACGACACCGGGAGACGTAAATAATGAATTTACGATGGAGAACTTTTTAGCCTTAGAAATCTAAGCAAAAGTTGTAGTATACATTAAACCGAGATCATACAAAAAAAAAAGAACGCCCAAATCTGACTTCGTATGAGGAAGTTATGAATTTTCTAAGATTTGGCTTAGTAGTGCACAGCCCGAAACTCGAATTTTAGATCGAGCGGTTTTTGGCCTACGCGACCTAAATGAGAATTGAAGATCTCATTAATAGGAACTCAACGGTAAAAAGATGGACGAAAACAGAGTCCGTATGTAGAAGTTATGAATTTTACGCGGACATATAACATTATAATCTCCTCGTACTGTTAAATTTAAGATCGGTCGAGAATTAGCCGACGGAGTCAAAATGAAAGTTGTAGATCTTATTTTTACCTACGCGTGAATATAAAGAACGTCAAAATCGTAGGTCGTATGTGAAAGTTACGGATTTTAGAAGTCGGAAGTGTGCTGTGCGAAAATGGGTGATGTGGCACAATCTTGGCCATTGCTTTCTCCCCAAGTCTTGCCAATAGATGGTGACATGTGGCACCAAGTTCAGCCATTTTTCACCCTATAAATAGAACCTCTCCCACCATCATTTTCTTCACACCTTTCCCATTCTTTCTTCTCTTTACTCTCTCTCTAGAACCTCTCTTTAGCCCCGAAAAGCCTAGGGAACCTCCCTAGCACGAGGCGGAAGCCCCGGAGTGCTCGACGGCTCCGAGAAGAAGAGCTTTTCGGCTCGGGAACGCTGCTCCAAGCAAAGCCCGATTTTCTATAAAATCCGCTGTAAGTGAGCTACGCCTACGCTATTTTTAATATAGCTTTTATTTAATTATAGTAACGTTATTAGGAACTTATAATAAGTACTTGAGCTATTATTATGGGTTATATAAGTATTGTTTAACGCTTATATAATAGTAATAATAGCTAGACTATTAATTAGTCTCGGCGAATAATAGACTAAACTCTAGTGGTAATAATACTAGGTTTCGTCGAAGGAAATTATTTTTAAGAAGCGAAGCGCTGTCTGAGTTCGGAATCACCACCTTTTCAAGTGAGTGCATGGTCCCTTTCAGCTTACACATAGATATGAAGTATTTTATATAAATTACGTGCTGTGTGTGCATATTATCTGTATACTTTCTATCTATGTTGGATGAACGATTTTATACATGTTTTAAATGATTTAAACTGTATATGTATTTTATATCTACAAAATGTGTTGGGTAAAACATGGGTAGATGAATAGTTGATGTGTGACAAAATAAAATAATGAGAGGCCTCGATATAGATGTTATTGATGATCCAGTCATCTAGCGGAGTATAGATGACGACCACAGACTATTCTAAACAGTCCAGTGGAACGCTAGCAGGCTCGCAACCTGTAGGTGTTTATTTGAACTGTGTGCTCACCAGCAGTACTCCA